TTTTTATTCTCCCACCAAGGCCCCGATGTGGGTTGGTGACCTGTGTTCGGGTGGGCTAATCACCGTAAAAAAAAGTCTTACAATTTTAAATTGGAAGACTGAATATTGCTGTGAATGCAGAACTAGCGGAGTAATTACTTTCATACTTTATAATCACATTCCCAAGGGTCATGCTTGAAAGCCTCATAATTTTGCACACGATCAGCTGAAGAACAAGAGGAACGTTGAAATTGAATACAAATGTGTGTGTGTGTGTGTAATAATAATAATAATAATAATAATAATAATAATAATAAGCGGTTTATTAATAGAGTTGCAGCCGGTGGCTGAAAATATACAGACTTACATTTGATTTAGACATAATGATATAATATGCATTGAATACATTTACAGGGCTGTACAGTACATAAATCAGGAGTTGTTTATTATTTTAACAATGGATGGGATGGTGCTGTTCTTATATCTATCGGTGCAGGCTCTTATGGGCTGAATTTTTGTTGTAGTGGCGGACTGCGCGAGTTGGGTGGGGGGTTGCAGGTGGCAGGAGGTGGCGATGAAGAAGGTGGTGCAGTAGTCCACTGCCAAACCTTTCCAGTGCTTGGTGGTGGAGGTCACTGAGGGATGGCATTTCCAGGGTGGAGAGAGCGTTGGTGTAGCCGGAGTATTCTGCGCCGAACATGATTCTGCAGGCCCTTTTCTGTACCTTCTCTAGGTGACGTTGTTGGGTGGAGTTGAGAGAAGACGACCAGGCTGGTGACGCATACGTTAGTTTGGGGAGAATAAAGGCGTTGTAGATGGTCCTCAGCTCTGGCGTGGGTGTCCCAAATGACCTAAGTCGTCGAAGCATGTAGAGACGGTACGAGGCTGCCTTGACTGTGTTATTTACATGGGCCTTCCAGTCAAGTTTGTTGTCTATAGTTACACCCAAGAGTTTGGCAGACTGCACCAGCTGGAGAGGATGGGCACCCACTGTGACTGCTGGGGCTTGCACTGGAGTGGTGGCGGTATTGATGTGCATGACTACGGTTTTGGTGTGGTTGATGGTGACCTTATTCTCCATAGTCCATGCCTGTAGCCTGTCCAGGGTGCCTTGTAGCGATGAGTAGTCTGGTGCGGTGTTGTCCACTGAAACCCCCACAGTGCAGTCATCCACGTACTTCCACCTGTGAGGAGTGTCCGATAGAGCGTCGTTGATCAGGATGAGGAAGCACAGTGGTCCCATCTTGGTCCCTTGGGGTACACCGCAGGTGAGGTGTTGGAATGTGGAGACCAAGCCCTGATACCTCACTGCCTGGTGACGTCCACTCAAGAAATCAGTGAGCCATGAGACCAGGTTGGTGGGCAGCCCTAGTGCAATAGCCTTGTTGATAACAGTGCAGTGATCAACAAGGTCAAAGGCCTTCCTGAAGTCCACAAGGGCAACGGCCAGTGATGTCTTACGTTTCTGCAGTGTGATGTAGAGGAGGTCCTCATATTGCCAAATTGCTGTGGATCAATTGACTGATAGATACTGGCAAATGCCCACTCAAAAACAAACAAAGTGTGTGTGTGTGTGTGTGTGTGTGCTGTAACTGGTAGACACATGACAAAGTATCGGTAGCTTGCAGGATAAAGGTGTTTGCATGAATTTTCAAGAAACATAAATTTACCCAGAAGAAGGAAAAAGCAATACAAAATAGATATAAACATAACGCTCAAGAATATCTCACTGGTGGTGTTGTAACTAACATGTGTGATTATAAATATATCCGCTTATTTACCGCATGAGAACGCATGAGAAAGTGAGATCTAAAATGATGACGAATGTGGACACGAAGAGGTTAAGTGACGCGCTAGTTTTAAGTAGACCTTTTGATGGTGAAACTTAGGTGAGGATACTAAACGATTTTGTCCAAGTGGTGAGCAGACTAGAGGTCTCGGTAATAGAACTCACGCGTGTTGTGATGCAAATACCAGCGCTTTACAAGGACAAAGAACAAACAAAGCTACACCACTCCAAGTTATGAAGGCTACGAAGTTAATTTATTTCATTGATGGAAGTAATTGAGGGATAAGATGACTTAAGTTATTTTAAATCAATATTGAGGCAACAAGAAGTGACATGTGACTTTCAAGACATAACCAGTGTACCCTTGGTTGATTTAGTTAGGAGGGGAGGGTGACTAGAGGGAGAGGGGCGATGAGAGGGAGAGGGGCGATGAGAGGGAGTGGGGCGAAGAGAGAAGGGGCGATGAGAGGAGGGGGCGATGAGGGAGGGCGATGAGAGGAGATGAGGGAGGGCGATGAGGAGGGAGGGGCGATGAGGAGGAAGTGGGGCGAGGAGGGCAATGAATGGGGGGGGAGCGATGTGGGGGAGTGGGGCGATGAATGGGGAGGGAGCGATGAGGGAGAGGGCGGATGAGAGAGAATAGGGCGATGAGAGATAGGGAAGCGATGAGAGGGAGTAGGGCGATGAGAGGGAGGGGGGTGACGAGAGGGAGGGAAGGAAGGAAGGAAGGAAGACAGACAGTTGTAATATTTTGAACCTTTCTCTTGGTGAGATATTTGTGACGGTGTTGTTATACTGTTTCATTGCAACCTTCGCCACTGCGTTAATTTAGAGAGTTCCATTTTTAGGAGACTTTAGTTTATAATTTTCACTGTGTCCTGTTGCACTAGAGGATGTGTCAGGCGAAAATTGAAATGACCATGGTGTTCAGGAGCCGTGTGTAAAATCATGGAATTGTAGGAATTTCAGTGATGGCGCCAGACTTTAAACCTCACAAATCCCCACGCAAGGTCGGCAGCTTCCATGAGGGCGAGACAAACTCTGGGATAATTTGTGGTGCCTCTCATATTTCTGAAAGCAAAATTATCTCTTTGGGTTGTTTGTGCACTTTCAAATGTAACCATTAGTGAGGTCTATCACAAACACAAGTCTTATGCAGCAAACAGCAGTATGGTGGAGTGGGGTGTAATAGGTCACCATCATTGGCAGTCACCATTCCTGGCAGGTCACCATCCCTGGCAGATCACCACCAACCAGTAACATTCACATTACAGCCTGTGACGTTGAGAAAGATGACGTCAAGAGGCTGTGTTTTGTGACGCACGTCTACCGGCAGGTAGGGACACGGAGCGATCGTTAGGGTGGTATCCGGGTGGCGAAGGGGGGCGTGAACCTTGCGAACTGCTCCCTTAGATGACCACCCCGCCCACACAACCACCTGTACACCTCCCTACTAATAACCACGCCCACACAACCACCTGTACACCTCCCTACCCAACACTCACACACCGACCTACTAATAACCACACCCACACAACCACCTGTACACCTCCCTACCCAACACTCACACACCGACCTACTAATAACCACGCCCACACAACCACCTGTACACCTCACAACACAACACACACACCGACCGACGAGTACACATCTTGAGGTAAGGCTGTTCCTCTGTTGGTTATATACAGTGACAGCCATCGATAGTCAGACATAGTAAGATGTGTCAAAATGATTGGCGAATATTAACCCATTCCTTGCGATAACAACCTCGTGATTGTAATTAATTTTTAGCCCATAAATTTAGATATATTAACCCCATGAGTAAGAGGACTTAACCCCTTCAGCACAGTATCCTAGCCTTTTGAATCCGATGACTTTAAGTTCATTGATATTGGAATCGAATGACTTAGCCATTGACTTCAGAGGATTAAGTCATGGTGCTCAAGGAGATAAGTCATGGTACTCAAGGAGATAAGTCATAGTACTCAAGGAGATAAGTCATGGTGCCCAAGGAGATAAGTCATGGTACTCAAGGAGATAAGTCATAGTACTCAAGGAGATAAGTCATGGTGCCCAAGGAGATAAGTCATGGTGCTCAAGGAGATAAGCCATGGTGCCCAAGGAGATAAGTCATGGTGCTCAAGGAATAAAAGCAGTATTATACTTTTATATCCAAAGAGTATTTATAGGAGACGGACAGAGATTCAGGGAAAAACTTAATTTGGTATCTTGAAGAGGGAGTTGTAGTCTAAGAGAGTTAGTTGGAACACACTGACCCAATGCATGGAACGAATATACTGGAAAAATAACCTGGATTGTTTTTTCTTTATAGCGTACAAGAACTTCGTCTATGATTGTGAATGAAGGCATGACACGAGGCTGAGTGTTGGATACAGAGGCCATCAATATCTTAGGAGTGGAGTGTGGGGCTCTGACAGACATAAGCTTCACTACCCTTCCTTACTTTTGTATGTCTGATTAAAATAAATAAAAAGTCGAGGAAAATATCAATATAATACACAAAACTAAGAATAACATCTCAAAATAGAACAAAAACTTTGGTGCTGTAACAGAGAACATCGGATGAAGAGTTAAGTCAAAATATACAGTAAGATAATGATCTAATATTAAACATAACGATAAAATCAACACGGAACCGGAAAGACACCAAAAAAAAAAAGTGCAAAATTAAGGATTATAAATAACCAAGACATTTTTAAAAATATATTTTGTGATACTGGGAAATTGTGAGATAATGACGTAAAATATTAAGGTGTGGCGATACAACGAGAGAATGGGGTAACAGCGAGGAAGTGACGTATTTCTCCTGTTTATCATCCCAGCCACGAGAGAGTGTGTGTCAATAAAGCGAGGGATTGGTTTGTGCCGCCTCACTCCAGGATGACTGGAAATATGCTTGTTCTAACTTTCCAAACCTCTGACGATTTTCAATTATATGCAAATGTATGACGAGTTATGTGTTCCGAGAATCAAGATACATATGGTAAAGTAATCCTTCCTTTAACACTGTGGCGCGTTATTGCATCTTTAGGATTATTTGGGGAAAAATATATAATTACTTTTGAAATAATAAAACAATAATTTGACTAATATAATGTATTTGTAGACTGATAAAATATATTTGATACTACTCAGTTATAGAGCAAAGTTCGACTACAGATTCTTTAATAATATATTCAAGTTCAGTTATAATTTTCTTCACAAACAATGTAAAAAAAAAAGTAGAAAATGTTTGCCAATGCAGCGAGATAATCAAGCATGAAGGAGGTAAAGCTGAGACACAACACCTGTTTATATACTACCAGGTGTTGGAGAGTCCTTGAGTCAAAGCAGGTGAGCAAGGTTTACCGTCATTCTCATCACTCTGCTCCATCTCTGAGTTACTTCACACTGTAGCGTAGAGAAAGGGCGGCCCCATGTGTGGTCTCTGTTGGCGCTGGAACAGGATTGTGAGTATTAGTGTGACGTCACGACCAAACACTGACGCACATGGTGACTCCCCAATAACGTATCTAGTTCAGAGAGGGTCAGAGTCACGGGAGAATGTTACTTACACTAGCAAGGACTGGGCGACTTCCACGGAGAACCACGTAACTGAATGATGTCGGGAGGACTGCAAAGAAACGTCTCGGAAAGTGTCACATCCACAGCGGCGTTCACCTCACCTCCTGATATTATTTGCTATCATGAGAGGGATGCTATGAACAGCACTCATAGCATTGGTCAAAATATACCACAAGGGTATATGGGTACCCCTTGATTGGATGCAGGAACATATACACAAGCTGGGAGACAACATGACCGCCCATAACTAGAATTAGCGGTTGGTTGATGTACTGCACACACAAGAGTCACCCTATAGGAATTACTTGGGCCCTGACTGAGAGGTGCTAGTATCCCGGTATTCCTCGTCTGGCTTTTACTTTCCATCTTCATCAATAAGCCCCTACACTTGGCAACTCTAAACATCATTAACTTTTTAACTGGAGTGAACCGGGACGCCGCTACTGGGTGTCGGTTTATTCTCTGGCAAGGAAACGGAGTCAACATGATTATCACTAACAGCAAAAAACATAATTATAATCAGTTTGGCAATATTCAAGGCTGAAACTTCATTCCTGACCTTGTCCATCGCCTCCTCCCTATCAACTCGCTTCGATTTTGCTGATTACAAACTCTTTTCAAGTCTCAATAGTGTTGATAGTCTCTGTTGCTGCACAAAGTCTGAGATTACTTACACAACATTCTCAGCCAATTTCCTCACTTTGTCTTCTACTCTTACAAACTTTCATTTCACCATACTGTTAAACACTTATGCTGTGTATATCACCCTCCTGACACTCCTCTGATGCCTGGTCTATCCGACACTACCTGACTATATACATAACATTAAAACTTATTTCAAACACGATCTGTTGATGCAATCTGGTCTCACTGAACAAGTTAGTTTGGAGGAAGAGTACTTTGCCATCTCAAACTTACACAACTGGTCAATAATGGCTCACGTAATGTTGGACATCTGGTGAGTCGTTCTTTAACTTCATATCCCAATCCTTATTCTTTTAGTTTCCTCTCCTCTTAGCTGCTCTGGCCGTTGTCTCATACCCGGCAGTGAACAAGCGATTTTAAGATTACGCTCACCGAGAGGATTTCTGGGTCTTTTTCCCCTTGTGTTTACTTATTCTTTTTTTTCTGTTCTGGTGATCCTTGTTCTACATCATTGAGATCATTAGGAGAACGGCTCAATTCCTCCAAGTGATCAATAAGTTATCCAAACAAACTATCTACACGCAAAATTTCCCCGGACTGCTGTACAACCCACAATAATAGCCTATTATTTTGGTCCACTCTTAGGGCATTCGATTTCACTTCAGTAACCAGTCACCCATTCCTCTCAATTCACCTGTTGGTTAAGTGGTCTTGGTTCTTTGGGGGACGATCCATTTAAGCTGAAGGCGCCACAAATATCTGCTCCCATAATTAAAACAAAAGAAGTCCAAAAAAGTCGAGGCTGCTCAAACACTGACAAGATCTCAAGTCTGGATGGGATTCCTCAAGTTATTCTAATAGTGGTTTATAAATATTCTCCAGCTCTGACCAAACACTTTAGACTGTCTCTCCACACTCCAGTCTTCTCTTCTCACGGGGAAATACTAACAGTAATTAACCTCCAAAGAAAGATGATAAATTCATCCTCTCAAATTATCATCAAATTTCCTTCACATCAACGACAACCAAAGATTTTTCAAACATTAATTAGTAGTTGTATTCCCCAACACCTCGAAAACAGAAACTTGATAACCAAAAATAGCGTCGATCGCTCTACTGCTGACTATTTGCTATTTCTCACACATTTAATCCACTGATAAATAAACTTCAGTCGTGAAATTCTGCAACAGCTCTCGATATATCCATCTTTTCTCTCTGGTTGCAAAGTGCTTGTAGTTCCGGACAGGCTTTTCTCTATCACTCTAACAAGTTCTGTGTTCCTTAAGGATTTGTCTTAGCTGAAACAATTTTATTACACATTCATAAGCTTATTTTAATGAAAAATTAGTTCACTCTTATGTACATGATTCACCCGCCATGGATCCTACACTCTGTCCCAGGCTCACCATACAGTTTTGGTGCCAGACAGCTCAGTGGGGTGCTGCCAAACTTTTTTTTTTTCATCGCTACTAAAACAAAACACATAATAACTAGTAACTGGAATGATATTACAAATTTCTGAATAAAAGTTTACAATGCCATCATCTCATCATCACACAGTACTGAAATCTATGACACCACCATTGTCTCAAGCATTATATTGGACTGGGTTTATTGAAGGCACCGTAAATCCTCAGCAATACGTTATGTGTCGACCTCCTCTATCACTCGCTGCCTTGTCATCTTCGTAGACTTTATCTATCATAACCTATATCAATGGGAGACTTTAGTGGCTCTCACCCTCGTAAATTTCATCAAAGAACTTGACAGTCATCCACAACATTATTTACAATAAAGCCTTAGGATCTGGAGAAGTCTCTTTTTTGTTTTCCTTATCTACAACCTCATCGACCGCCGCCAAGTATGGGACTTCTCTGTTTCCTCATCCTCATCAATAATACTTCTGCTTGGTGGACATATGTTGATCACTCCTCCATTGGCATCACTGTCAACAATACGGCGCCCGATTACAGCGCCTTCCTCAATACCTTTAACAATCTCCAAAAGCGGACCGTCGCCAGGCAGGCCACTAGTAACCAGGTTATAAACATAAACATCTCTATCCAAACAATGTTCCTTCTCCATCTACTACATCACTTGGTTGAGCTTCTTCAAGATTGTGAACTCTACTGAACCTATCAGCCCCAAAACAGATGGAAAACTCTTGTAAAAATACAGTTCAGTATTATCATCAGATATTCCACCTGTCATCCCCATATCTTTTGCCGTTTCAAGATTCTTTGGACATCCTGATTTTGAACTCAAGAATATTTACGCAACACTCATGCTTCCTAGACTCACTACACTTGAAGAGAGAGAGAGAGAGAGAGCGCAATAGAAGTACAAGATTATTCTCAATCTTTCATACACCAAGAGGCACACTCAGTACAGTGACCCTCTCAACTCTCTCTGGCCAACACTGTGATCTCATTTCTGACTTTGGGATGCAGCTGCTACACAACCTTCTGCCACATGAAGTTCCTGTTCTATGTATGACTATTCGACACCATATTCACTTTAAATCACATACAATATCTCACAGAACCCTACAAGAACAGTCTATTCCAACCATTGTAAATATTATCAATTATTTGTAGTTAACTTTGTTGTTCACTTCATGTTTTTTCTTATTATTTTTGCATTGAATGTGTACTGAAAGCTCACTCACTCACTCACTCACTCACTCACTCACTCACTCACTCACTCACTTACTCACTCACTCACTCACTCACTCACTCACTCACTCACCCAGATATTTACAGTCACACAAAAAAGTCTAATTCAGTGGTTTCGGTTCTTGTGTTTATACATGAAAAAAAAGGAGATAAAAAAGAATGAAGGAACAAAAGAGGAAGAGAAAGCTTGCACCAAAGAGAGAGAGAGAAGGAGAATGGGAGATCTGGAGGTACAGAGAACATGGAACCTAATGAAAGAGAGAGAGAGAGAGAGGCTAGATTCGAAGGAAGAGAGGTACCTCGAGAAAGAGAGAGAGAGAGAAAGACAGAGACAGAGAGAATCAATGAAAGAGAGAAAGTGTAGCTAGAGAGATATATATGACTTAAACTTTACTATCGATATCCATCTGGTGGTATAGGACACACACACACACACACACACACACACACACACACACACACCTGATGTTTTCCAGCAGTGAAAGTTGTTTACCTGTGTTTTAAAGAGGCGATGTTGTATGAGCACTTAACATGTATAGTAGACACAATGATAGGTGAGCAGAATGGTAAGGGGGGGTGAGGGGCCTGGGGGAGGGAGGAGGAGAGGAGGTGAAGGGATGAGGGAAGGGGAGGGGATGAGGTGGGAGGAGATGAGGGCGAGAGGAGGGGAGGAGATGAGGGCGAGGGGCGGAGATGAGGGCGAGGGGAGAGGAGATGAGGGCAAGGAAAGGGGAGGAGATGGTGGCGAGGGGAGGAGCTGAGGACGAGGGCAGGGAAGGAGATGAGGGTGAGGGGAGGGGGATGAGGGGAGCACAGGGGAACCGAGGGGAACCGAGGGGAGAGGATGAGTAGAAGGGAGGGGAGAAGTTTAGGGAGAAGGGAAGGGAGAAGAGATAAGGGAACAGTATGCTGGTGAGGTGAGGGGAAGATAGGGATAAGAGGAAGAAAAGAGGATGGAATAGAGAATGAGGACGGGGAGAGACGAGGAAACGAGGGAATAGGAGAAATAGAAAATGGGATAGGGCAGGTAATTAAGCCCTCCTACATCGGGTTCACACGAGGTCACCAACAAAAACACTTGGCTCGGGTTACAAGTGGAGAAAAAAAATGAAAGCAAATATGGAAGTGGAAGGACATGACATACTGCCTGGCTGAACTTGTAAATACGAAAACAAAAGAAAAGAGGAATGAAGTTATTATTTAATGAAGTAAAAAGCATCATGAAGGAAGAAAAAAAGATAATTCATGGTATAATTGTATTCATAAAAAAAATGGCTTGCTTGTTACTGGGGTGTTACTGGGGTACTGCAGACAAGAGGAACGAGGTACATTCCTCTCATCATGAATTCATAGTTGCAGCTGGATGTCAGTGGGTGGTGACTATGTTAGAAAAAAAAATCAAACGATGAAATAAACTTTAGTGAAGTATGATTTGTTTTAATTATATTCCAGTCCCTACCATAACGTGAGCGGGTACAAGATGTTAACTAACTGTGGGGGATTTAAAGAACACGCGGTCCACGCTTACTACCGCCCTAAACGAAAAGTAAAA